CCACTTATATTTGAATAAGCCCATTAAGTGATAATATTCCAAATACGACATCTTTTGAGGAGACAAGTGCGTGACAAACTATATTAGTTTTAAGCCGAAAGACTTCGTAAACGTCACCGTTTATCACAATATCTTTTAAATAATTCAATTATTAGTTTATACATACATCCATACATAAATTTATAAATAGTAGTAAGATGACGTGGAAAATGTATAATTATATAAATTTGATCATACAAATAAATTTTGCATTTTTGAGACAAAAATATATTATTATGTAGTTATAATTTTAGTTTTTTTTTTAAAATAATTAATTTCTTAGTAAAAATTTTAGTACTTCTATTTGTTTTTTAAAATTTGTATATGATTTTAAATTTGGACAATTTGTTTTATTTAAAATACTGCTACATTAAATTTATGTTTTTACAAATTTTAATGTATAATTTTGACATTATTATACTAAATATAAAAAAGAAATGCAATATTATTTGTTTCAGTAAAATTAAAATAAGTAATAATAGGTAGAAATAAATTAAGGATAGTAAAAATATATATTCAGATACAAAGAATAGTAATGTAAACTAAAAGCCAGTTAAAGTAGTTTATAACTTTAACTTACAACTTATAAACTCTTAAAATAAACTACTTTAATATACTTATAAAACACTTTTGTACTGACTAAATAAACTTATAAACTAATCAAATAGCCAACTTATTGATCTTACTAAATATTCTCAAAAACATATTATCACCACGAACTTTATAATCATAAAGTACACCACTAGTGTTCAAAAATAAAAATTATTAGAGTTTTTTATTCAACAAAAAAAGACAATTTAATGCTTATTATGGTGTTTTTGTTTGTATATCTAATGTGTGTTCACTTAACTGTCCCAGAAATCTTACTTCCCATGCCATGGTCCATAAGAATGAAGATTGCATTTGGTGCAGCTAAGGGACTTGCATTTCTCCATGAAGCAGAGAAACCTGTCATCTATCGTGATTTCAAGACATCAAATATTTTATTGGACCAGGTCAGCAACTTTAAATATGTCAGCTCAAAATAAAAAAAAAAGATAAAAAACATATTATTTCTCTCACAATTAATAGTCTCACATCATTTACGAACTGGTCAAACACAATTAACGCTTTTTAAAGACAAAACGGTGACAAAACTCCAGTCTTCGAAACAAATAACACTTCAGATGTATAGTTATTCATCCTAATGAGTTGGACTACAAACTACCATCATAAGATAGAATATATTTTGTCAAGAATACATGTGTGTCCAAGTTTCACATTGGATAGAAAGTGAAGTGAAGGGCCTTCACCTATTTTCTTAACGTTTTGGATTGTCTTAACGTTTTGGATAGAGAGTAATGTTAATCTCTTATGTAATTGAACTCACGTTAGTGAACCTCCTCCTCGATCAACCCAACACATTTATCCTAGCAAAACACAAAACTGTTATGCCAAGACAGAATACTTTAGCAAGCAAACTATAAATAAGAAGCTTTAGTCACATATTGGAGTTGCTACAAACTTAAACATTGGTTTGAATTAACCATCTTGGTTTTTTATGTTACAAAAACAGGACTACAATGCAAAACTTTCTGATTTTGGCCTTGCCAAGGATGGACCAGTTGGAGACAAATCACATGTTTCTACTAGAGTAATGGGAACATATGGTTATGCAGCACCTGAATACATAATGACAGGTAAAGTATATTCTGAACCCAGAATTCTGTATTCAAGTGAAACCAAGTTCACATTTTTACTACTAATAAACCAAGAGCTTTAAGATAATTGTCCTAGAATTCAACAAACTCATCAGTCACATATTATACTATCAGTGTGTTGAAATTAAAGTCTTGTTGGTATAATACAAACTGACAACATAATCATATGTTGTTGTGCAGGTCATCTGACTCCTAGAAGTGATGTTTACAGTTATGGAGTTGTTCTGCTTGAACTTCTGACAGGAAGAAAATCTTTAGACAAGTTAAGACCTGCTAGAGAGCAGAATCTCACAGAATGGGCTGTTCCTTTGCTGAAGGAAAAGAAGAAATTTCTAAACATAATAGATCCAAGGTTGGATGGTGATTATCCGATTAAAGCAGTTCACAAGGCTGCAATGCTTGCATATCATTGCTTGAACCGCAATCCAAAAGCAAGGCCTCTGATGAGAGATATTGTGGACTCATTGGAGCCTTTGCAGGCATACACAGAGGTTCCTGTTGGAAAAACAGTGACCATAATCAGTGAGGTTCCTGAATCTGATTTGAAAATGAAAGATGCAAAATGACTTTAAAGAGGGTGTTGTTGTAGGTTCTCAGTTTCATTTCTCATGTTCTTTTGGAGATAGTTTTTGCCATAACTTCTTGTGTTTATAAACATGACATATAGGCAATTTCATTTTGTTCTATCCCTTTCTTTGCTTTTCAACATGGTTTTCATATCAGTGCAACTGGATTACTGTATGAACTGATATTAATTTCAACAGAAACAACACAACTCATAGCAGCAAAAATTATATTGTTAGCAGAATCTAAAACCTCGTTGGAACCATATCAATTGAAGTCGTTCTCTATTATTATTTTTATTGACAGTATTATGTTAATATTGTATTTCAAGTTTTTTTTTTAGTGAAATCAGTTGTTATGACAAATGTAATGCACTTTGTATGCATTTGCTTAATTAGTCTGTTTTTTTCATAATATAAACCATTTATCTTTTTCATTTTTCAATGAATTTTATATTCTCCTACTTTGGAAAAACTTATGCAGTATGAAATGAACTTCTGAACTATTTCTTGTCTATTTTTCTGTATTTTTTTTAATAATTCTGTTATTCCTTGCAACCATAATTTTATAAAAAAATATTATTTTCTCAATTCCATTGATATGTTCGTATAATATTTAAATTTTTTAGCTTTATTTTCAAACAAATTTTGTGTTGCATAAAAAAACTGAACATTTTTTATAATTTTAACTAAAGAAAAGTCGTAGTTATTTTTTTCTACTTTTTATGCAGCAGCAGGCGCCAATATAAAAATGTGCAAAATACCCAAAAAAGTATTAATAATGTTGAAAATATCTTTGTATCATAAAATGATTAATATTTGAATAGTATTATTAAATGTTAAAGTTGTCTATAAAATGACACCACCAAAAAATTATATTAGCCTTATTCATACTTATAATTTTAAGTATTTTATTCCCTCCAAATATTACTTTATATTATATATTCGAGAAGAATTTTAATATTCCGATGAAGGTTCTTGATTTTTTAGTTTCATTTTTAAATTTTTCATCTCTATAGTAAAATTTCTGGAGTAGTAGAGGTAGCAGAACCACGTCTCAAACATTGGAAAATCTAAAGGTACACGTGGCATCATTGTAGTGAACTGAGTGGATGTGCTTTCATAACCACTTCAGCAATCTCCATTCACAACCTCTCATGTCTGTCTTTGTGGCCCCAACAACACAACCTCCATTTGTTAACTATGAAAAAGCACAGCTTCAAGCACCAAAGGATGTTCCACTCGTAGAAGAAACTCAACATAGAAATTAGCAGTGGCACTTTCAAAGTTTTGTGCATAACCATAAACCATGTCATCATTACCAACCACCACTAGTGGTCACTCATCTCTTTACTCTGCACTAACTTTGCCAAGAACCACCCAAATTCACCCAACCCTGTTTTCTTCCTCCCCCAAGTTCTTTTCTTGCAGAAGCACCTCGTACTTGGGTGTGTCCTTTTGTTTCTCCAACACCCTTTTGTCAAGACCGTTACTTTTTGCTGTCAAGGCTTCATCCGGGGTTGGGTCAGAAGCATCCAAACAGGAGAGTGACAAGAGTGAAGAACAGGAGGAGGAACCGTACGAGGAGTACGAGGTTGAAATTGAGCAGCCTTTTGGACTCAAATTTGCAAAGGGTAGGGATGGGGGAACTTACATTGATGCTATTGCACCAGGAGGATCAGCTGATAAAGCTGGAGTCTTCAATGTTGGGGATAAAGTACTTGCCACCAGGTGTGCTCTTCATGTTTTTGTTTTTTCCTCCTTCTGTAACTTTCTTTATTTGGAGAACTATGTAGATAATTTAGGTGTTGGTTTTAAAGTATCATGCTTAAGAGACTTTATTGGAGGTCTTATATTTATTCTAGGTTGGTTTATGGATGTGGAAATGATGAGTTTAATTTATAGGCACTGTTAATGTCAAGTTTATATGTATATTATGTGCTTCGAAGTCCTGTTGAGAAGTAAACTTGTGCTCTTTGTGTTTGTGTTTGTCTCATGATGTTTGAGTCTGATATGACCAATATGTTCAATATCTGCAGTGCAGTTTTTGGGACTGAGATTTGGCCAGCTGCGGAATATGGAAGGACAATGTACACAATTCGCCAAAGAATTGGCCCATTGCTCATGAAAATGCAGAAGAGATATGGTTAGTTCAATGTGTTCATTTTGCTATGTTCGAGTGCTACTATATTCAGTAGTCACTTTTGAATTTTTCTTAGTGATCTCAGCCATGGTTTATCACTTTGACAGGAAAGAGTATTGACAGTGGTGGTGAGTTAACTGAAAAGGAGATTATCAGGGCTGAGAGAAACTCTGGGGTAATCAGCAACAGAGTGAGAGAAATTCAAGTAAGTTTCATGGTTATGATTAAACTGTAAAATTTGTAGTCCTTACATTCACAAACATTTTGTATGAGATGTTTTGACTTCTACATAGACATGTCACTGCTGCATGCGGGTACAAACACTCATTGCCAATTCTCAAACTTGCAAAATTTCAGATGCTAAATGCTTTGAGGAAAAAAGAACAGAAAGAACGCAGACAAAATGATTTGAGAGAGGGATTGCAACTATATAAGTAAGAATTAGCAATTCAAAATCATTCTTTTTTTACATTTATGGTGTATCCAGTATTCCTTTCTATCCTTTGTTTGTCTAGCCCTTAACATTTCAGAATGTTAGTCTATTCTTCGAAAGGGATGAAATGCAACATCTTTGGAAGAACTAACAAACATTCTGAATATAGTATCTGACAATTGTCTCCGATTGATAATTGATATATTGTCTTTCATCAGCAATTATTATGGAAATTTTAGTTTTGAATCCTAAATGCTGTTCTGTTGCTCAGTTATTGATTGAAACCTTATCTAAATATGGCCAAGGGCCTAAACAACTGGTTAAAGAAAATACCTGCTTCTCTTTCCAAAATCTCAATTTGCATCATATCTTGGTTAAAAGTCTAACAAATGATGCTATCTCACTGATAATGTTATTGTGCACTCTGTTCCTGGATTAAATGCTGAAGGAATGGAAGCTATAATGAAGCACTAGAGAAATTTGAGTCTATTTTGGGATCAAAGCCAGAGCCTGAGGAAGCAGCAGTTGCAAGTTACAACGTTGCTTGTTGTTACTCTAAGCTAAACCAGGTATATGTTTCCTACCATTTTCTCTCTTGGAACATGCAACTTGACCTGATCTTGGATTAGTTCCTTATTATCCATGCTGAATAGACACCAACAAGAACAACATACGTTGTAGTTAAGTGAATTCATTAGTCTTGCCAACAAACAGTTCTATGATTTACCTATCTCTCTCTCTCTCTATATATATATATATATATGTATACTAATGGAGAGTAATAAATTTCTAACAGATTCAAGCTGCACTTTCTTCACTGGAAGAAGCCCTGAATTCAGGTTTTGAAGACTTCAAGGTGATGAACCTACTTGAAGCTATTCCATTATCATATTGGCTAAGCCATCTAACATTGTTGTTATTTTAACAGAGACTGAGAACTGATCCTGACCTAGCTAACGTCAGGACTTCAGAGGAATTTGACTCTTTATTGAAAAGATTTGATGAATCTTTTATCAATGAGAATGCCATCAATGCCATTAAATCTCTATTTGGATTTGGTAAGAAATAACTTGTTTTGTAAACACAGGCAAAGTTTGGCTGACTAAGTGGTTGGTTGAGCAATATGGTAATTATTTCCCATGTGTGTATAACTTTATAGTTTAACTACACGGATCCCTCATTTTTTGTCCCTGCACTGGGATCTTGCTTTATGTACTACTAGTATAATCAAGCAAAGTTATAAGAAGCTTATTTATGATCAATAAAATTGTGCATTTCTATTACCTTCTTCTACTTTGTTGCCTGTTCCTTCATTAACTGCTAACTTGATGAAGTTGCATTGATTTTCCCCTACTTTTTGATGATGTTGCTATTTGTTATGATGTTTCACATAGCTGTTTTTCAACCATCAACAGTTACCTTTCTTTAAGATTGTCAATTTTTTTACTGATTTCAACTTTTAATTCATTGTACAAAACTCCATCTGCTTCCAAAACTTTACATGTTTTATAAATATTGCAATTTCTGTTCTATTTGAGCAAAAAAATCAAATTATTAAATATTTAGATTATAAATGTTTTTGGAAATAATGAGAGCAATACCAAAGGAAAAACTAGCTTGGAGAAGTTATAGGTTTTAGCAACTGGATTATTTCAGACAGGGGCTGTTTTAAAAAACAAGAACATGACAAAGAAGAAAACCACACTCATCCCCTTTTCCATCAAATTGATCTTTATGTAAAATTGTATAACAATTTTGAACAACTTAAGTTAAATTCATGTTTAAACTTTATAATTTTCCATCAAATTGATCTCTGAACTTTAATATTTTTAATATGAAATTAGTTAACTACATGACATTTATTCTATAAAACTTAACAGCAGGGCGGAAATTTTGTATTTTACACATTCATGAACTAAAGTATATTTTATTGATTTACAGGAGAAAAATGGTAATTACATAATATAATAATTTAAATAGTCATGAAGAGGGAAAAAATAACATAGAAAAACAACAAAATTTATTGGTGCAACTTGTTTACAGAGGAAAGTCTTGTCTCGTTCTTAAGACTATATCTAATTTTCTTATACTGTTTTGGACATGAACTTCAATGTGTCGTCTCTTCATTTTCTCGTATACAGAAATAATTTCAAAACGCTCGTATCGCAAAAGTTAGACATGAACTTATGTGTACTGAATAATAACAGAATAATCAAAATAGATAGAAACTTCATAGAAATCATGGAAGCAGATACAAAAAACTTCTAATCGAAGTAGAAAAAAAGTTTTCTTCAAATATAGCACGATAAGCTGACTACTTAGAAAGCTTCTAAAGCGTGCATTATGTTATAGCTAAGTTATTTGACTATGAACTAGAAGGATGAAGTCGAATTTCAAGTCCCTTTACTGGTTCTAGCATGGGATCATACTTCAACTTTTCATCAGGAATCACCAATTCCCACTTGAACCGTTTCACGATATTATGCATGAACACAAGTATCTCTAGTCTAGCAAATTCTTGGCCCAAACACATTCTGGGGCCACCTCCAAATGGAACATGTGCAAAAGGTGTAGGCCCTGCTCCTTCAAACCTTGAAGCATCAAAAGTTTCTGGATCCGAGAAGATTGTTGGATCCTTGTGTGATGAATTAGTGTTCCAATGCAACTGTCATAAAACATCATAGATAACATGATCAACATGAGACAAGGTTCTCCCCTTCAGCATACAATAACTTCTTTTAATGGTCTTGAAAAGGTATCAGTTAGTATTGCTGAGTATCAGAAAATGAACGAATCTTTTGGTCTAATTTAACATCACACAGCTCAAGTAGTTCATGGAAACAAGCAGAAATATATATATATATTGGAAGGTGAGGTTTGCACCCACCTACACATGATAAGCTGGATAGACTTTAAACTGTTATTATGATATTATGGTAAGAAGTAAACTTTAAGTTTAACTCAATCTTACAAACGATTAAAGGTGAGATTTGCACTTTATTTATGTACTGTAAACTAGTTTTATCACTAGTCAATATGAGATCTTTAACAAAGGTTAAATTGAACATGTCTCGAGAACTAGTAGTGATTCCAATGACTGTGGAGTGAAGAAAGTATGATAATAGAAAAGAAAGTTCTACAAAAGAAAGGAAAAATACCTTCCAGCCTTTAGGGATGTTATAATCAGCATAGGTGAAATCCTTTATAGCTTCTCTATAAGCACCACTGACTGGTGGAGACAACCTCATGACTTCACATACAACATTCCAAGAGTATTTCATTTTCTGAATATCTTCCCACTGCAACAACTGCCCTACCTCTTTCCCTCGAATAATTTCAAGTTGTTCTGTCATAAAAATAACTTCAACATTTATCCTGATCATGTTATGGCTGAAAAATAGTTGTCAGCAACAGTTTGCTATAACAATCTTCTTTGGGTGTGTTTGAACAAGAAAAATAAGAAAAAATAAGATGAACTTCTCCATGATCCATGAGTATCCAAATAAAGTCTTTATAGGAAACAAACATGGTTAAGGATTTTATTACTAACCTTTCAAGACATGTTCATAAACTTGAGGCAACTGTCCAAGATATTTCATGACCAATGATAAAACTGATCTAG